CCGTGAGCCGGGGCAATGGTGTGCTCGGGTGCCGGGAGAAGGGCGGAGCCCCGGAGTCGGGAACGATAACGGGCCCTGGCGCCAGGAACCGAACGCAATAATGTATCGGGGAGAGCTGGGCTCGGAGGGAGGAACCCTCAACTGGGAGCAATCGCGAGGCACTGTATGATTTAGTGTTGGCGGGCCATGGCACAATTGTGTACTTATTGGAACTGGACGGGCCCGACCCAATACTTCACCGAAGAGAGTCGTGGGCTGAGCACTATTGTCGTCCCAAGTGAAATAATGCACTATTTGAGCAGATGGTGAGCTGGTGTGGTAAAAATATTTTTGCATTGGGTATATCAATAGTATAATAAGTTTGAATTGATTTGGTTAGAAAAATTCAATCGATATTAAATTTGAAGGTTAATAGCATTTTGTACCACTCTACTATTGTAAATTAACAGATGTATCGCTCTTTAAATTTTTCCACAAACATACCCTCATAATATTAATACGTAACGAATATATCCTTCCTTCTAATTATCTATTAGTTGACCATTAAATTGGATGGGCAATGACCAAAATACCATTCACTTAATCTAATTCATTTTAATCATTTTTCAACGCAACCCAATTTATTTAAAATTAAAACACTATCCAAAATCATCCCCTTCAATCTGCTCGTCGTCCTTTCGTCTGCCTCGTTCCCCAATTTCGTTAAAGACCCACCGCCGATAAACACAGGCGCGCCCTTGACGGCGGCTTCATATGGCGCTTCCTAGCAGGCGACCGCAGCGAACATCTACGGATGAAATGACATCACTGTTACGCCGTCAGTGGCTGGAGCGTACAATTGCAGATAAGACGGCTCACAATTACAGGTGGAGCAAACGACGACCTCTTTCTTTTCTTTACACCTTTCTTCTGCCTTTTGACCTTCTTCGCTTTCATGGCCGCTGATCGATTAATATGACTAGCAGATTGCGATTTTCCCCACAATTATTGTTGTCTGCTCCAACCGTAGTCGTGCGCCGCCTCATCCGTAGTTGTCCGCTCCAGTCGCTGCTACCGTAATAGCGACGTCATCTCGCACACAACTGTCTGCTCCGGTCGCCGGCTAAGAAGAGCCACGTGCGGCCGCCGCCGAGGGTGCGGTGTGTATATCGGTGGGAGGTCTTCAACGAAATTGGGAAGGAGGCAGACGAAAGGACGTCAAGTTGATTGAAGGTGACGATTTAGGATGGTGTTTTAATTTAAATTGGGTTGGGGTGAAAAATGATTAAAATGAATTAGATTAAGTGAGGTGTACTTTGGTCATTCCCAGCCAATTTAATGGTCAATTAAGAGATAATTAGACATAAGGGTATATTCGTTACGTTTTAATACTAGGAAAGTATTTTTTTTTTTTCCAAGTAAGAGCGAGAAACAATAGTTCAACCTCTACCCGAACCCCAAAACAAACTATAAAAGCAACCACCCTACAAAATCAAAGGACGCTATCTCTACAGGGGACAGCAACAGGGCTTGCTTTGCCACTCTATGGGCAGCCCAGTTGGCAGTCCTCGGAACCGCACTAAAAACAAAACACGAGGAACAGGACCTCACTAACTGAACACAATCACGAAGCAAGGGCCCACCCACAGAATCTTCACAGCATCTCCCATCAAGTTGTCGAATGACTACTTCGCAATCTCCTTCAATGATGACGCGGGGGAGCCTATGAGAGATGGCAAGAGAGATGGCGTCCCTTGCAGCCAAAAGTTCAGCCAGATAAGGGTTGGAAACTCCAGGGTGATGGAACCCCAAGGCCAAAAAGACTTGCCCATCTGATCCTCGAGCAACGAGTCCTGACGAGCAATCCGGGGCACGAACAGCGGCATCGAAATTAACCTTGATAAAACCATCTGGGGGGCCAATCCAACTGACAAGGCGAGGCGACGGTTGAGGGCGGGGCAGAGAGGCTAGGGGCTGGGAGGAGATTGAGGAGAATTCTTGGACTTGGAAGAAGAATTGACGGGCAAGCGAAGAGGCAAGTGGTTGAGTGAATTCAAAGACCACTTTATTTCTAGATTTCCAAATTCTCCAAAGAAGGCAAATGCAGGGGAGATAGTGGATTTGGAAGTTCGCCGAGTTCATAACATGTCGCCACCAAATACCGAAGTTCTCAGTTGGGGCGGAAATAATTAAACAGCTTAGACCCACCATATGCCAGAGCTCGAGAGTAAGGGGACAATGGAGAAAGAGGTGCTCAATACTTTCCTTGCCAACCCAACACACTGGGCACCTAGCTCGACATCTTACTCCTCGAGATTTAAGAGCCGTCATAGTTGGCAAGATAACTCTCAGGCATTGCCAAATAAAGATTTTAAGCTTAGGTGGAACGTCAAGAGACCACGTTTTTTTCCAAAATGGAGGGTCAAAGATGGAAACCGTCGCTTTTTGGGTGAGAATTAATAAATTGTCCAAGGCAAGATGATACCCTGTTTTGACTGAGTAGGTCCCATTTTTAGTGTAGTGCCACACTAACTTATCCTCTTGTTGAAGTATGGGAACTACCATGTTGCGAATGATCCCGACTGATTTTTCTTCAAACCAATGTCTTAACCTAGGAATATGCCAACCTCGTCGATCTTCTGTGATGAAAAAGGACACCCTTGGGTTAAAATTAACTTCATGTCTCCTGAGGATAGGAGGGGATGGCCTCTCCGCTAGTAGCCAATTATCTTTGAAGGCTTCCACTTTAGCACCATCACCTATCTGCCATCGCATGCCTTGCACAAGCAGTTCTCTCCCAAATAAGATACTTCTCCAACCCCATGAAGGATTAGAGCCAATGGTGGCTTCCATAATCGTACTTCCGTTGAAATATCTTCCCTTGTACATCCGGCTAATGAGCGAGTTGGGATTAGTCCAAATACGCCAACAAAGTTTTGCGAGAAGCGCTTGATTGAAAGCTCTAAAGTCTCTGAATCCTAATCCTCCTTGGAATTTGCTTTGAGCTAAACCTTTCCAAGATATCCAATGAATTGGATGATCCAAGTTAGCAGTAGAGCCCCACCAGAACCTTGCCAATAATCCATTTAACCGCTTACATGCTTCTACAGGGAACTTAAAGCACATCATGCCATGTACTGGAATGTTAGTGGCAGAGGTTCGGATTAAAATATCCTTGCCTGCTTTGGATAAGGTACGTTGCTTCCAGGCTTGCAACTTTTTCCCAACCCTTTCTTCAATGAAAAGAAAGGTATCTTTCTTAGTTCTTGGAATAAGGGAGGGTAGACCTAAGTAAGAATCTTGCGCCCCTATTGCCCCTACTCCCAACCTTGACCCCATGAAACTTGCATCTTCACTCTTAGTATTCTTACTGAATAAGACTGCGGATTTGGAAAGATTAACTTTTTGCCCACTTAGTCTTTCGTATCCTTGGAACAGTGATAATAAGTTGGAACATGACTCACTAGTTGCTTTAACGAAGAGGTAAGAATCATCAGCGAAAAAGAGGTGGGAGACCATTGGGCAGGTCTGGCGTATTCTTATTCCTTCCAAAAATCCCAAGGTTACTGCTTGATTTATCATTGCAGAGAAGCCTTCCTTACATATGGCGAATAAAAGAGAAGACAGAGGATCCCCTTGGCGTAGTCCCCTCGAGGGTCTGAAATACTAGGAAAGTATGTTTGTGCACAAATTCAGAAAAGGGGTACGTTTGTTAATTTGTAATAGTAGAAAGTACAAGATGCTATTAACCCTAAATTTAATTGGGTGCTTTTCGAATTTCATAGACAGGATAATGGGTTTATTGCAATTTTTTTATTTTAAGTATTCACACTGAATCCACTAAAAAACATGTTATAACTATAATTTAGAAGTTTAAACTCACTCTTCTCAACACTTCGCTTATTTATATCCGTCAAGGGTTATAATTCTCTCTCATATTAAAAATTTTGTTTCTTTTCTCACTTTTATAAATAATAGGCTAGTTTGACTCTGCTGTAACTTTTGCATAAGCAGCTGGAGATTTTAGAGAAGTATTTTTCATAAAAAAAACAGTTGAATGTTTGGCTGGAAAACTATTAGAAGTGCTTTTTTATATGAGAGTTTGTGCAAAATGACTTATAAATGACTTATAACATAAATTAAGAATAAAAATTCTAAACTGTAAAAAGTAGTCAAAATGGATATTGTTAGATTTCTATTATATTAAATAATATGGTTTTGTAATTTATTTTATTTTTGAAATGATATAATGAAATAAAATTATATTTTCTGAACTAAAATTAAAATATGGTAAGGATAATCTTGTATTTTCAAAACAACTTTTCTCAGAAGCTGCAAATCGGAGCGTCTGCTTTGTGTTATACAAAAGCGCTTTTTCGGCTTTTCAAAATCCGAGCTTTTAGAAGTGTTCGGCCCTACTTCAGGTTTTGAAGTCGAAAAACACTTTTAAAAGCCGAGCCAAACATAGACAATATCTTAATAAAACTTATAAGTAAGAAACTTTTCACTTTTTATCGATAACTTTATATATGATTATTTGAGTATGGTGCATATGGGTCTTTTCTGAATCTCACACAAGTAAGTTTGGTACATCATTTTACATCTCTTCTTACTTTTGGTTTCGACAATAATTACGATTTTAATACCATGGTTTGGATATGATAGATGGAAAAAAAATCTTATGACGTCATAATTTGGTCGGCTACAATGAGCTAACTCAAAATAATTTAAACAAGAGGAATCAAAGGGGAACGTGCCAAGCGCAAATCCTACAAACAAACGTGAGAGGCTCTACTGACAAAATTCAGAAGAAGTGGAGGCTACAATCTTTGCTTCATTATTTCGCACCAAACCCCTCCAAATCCCAAAACACACATCATATAAAGCACCCAAACACAAAACCTAAACCCCATCCCCACATCTTTCCCAAACATTGAGCCACACACATCAAAAAGAACAAAGCCATGAATGAAGCTATTCGCCATTAGCAGCCCTGCTTCAGCACTCTGCATCATCTTACTATGCAGCACCAGCATGGTCCAAGGGCTCGTCGACTACGGCGATGCGCTCTGCCGATGGCTTTCAGCATGACCATGATGGCCTGGGGCGCCATTGATTTCAACAAGGAGATCACCTCTGCTGCTAACCAAATGGCTTGGCTGCCATCAGATGGGGGACGGACTACTTCGTCAAGGCTCATCCACACCACAGCCCAATGTTCTGTGGGCTCAGGTACTATAATAATTACCGTCAAACGCTTTGTTTACGTAGTTGTGATCTTCTTTGTTTCTCTAGTCAATGTAGGTAACCTGTTTTGTTTTGTTTAGTGTTGTCACCTCCATTTCTTGTCGTCCAAGCGTCGTCATATGGTATATTCTTACCAACCACTACTGTTGGGAGAGAGCAGAGGACATGACGACTCCCAGAACAGCCTACAAGCTTGACCAGAACCATCCTGGCTCGGACCTAGCAGGCGAAACGGCTGCAGCGTTAGCCGCGGCTTCCTTGGCCTTCAAGCCATACAACTCTTCCTACTCCAACCTCCTCCTGTCCCACGCCAAGCAGCTCTTCTCCTTCGCCGACGACACCATCCAGAACGCCAAGCAATTCTACACTTCCTCTGGCTACTCGGCCAGTTACCACATCACAAACGTAAACTGACTTTTGTTACTTGACAGCCAAGTAGCTTCCTGTTCTCTAACATAATCGAGCCCTTCCTTGATATCAGGACGAGCTGCTGTGGGCCGCGGCATGGCTCCACCGCGCTACCGGTGAGGACTACTACCTCAAGTACGTTGTGGACAATGCTGTCTACATGGGCGGAACTGGATGTGCAGTGAAGGAGTTCTCTTGGGACAACAAATATGCAGGCGTTCAAGTCCTCCTCTCTAAGGTAATAAAAACTACTTCTGAAGTCAATAGCCTGTCACTCTTCTAAAACCCACCAACCATTCCCTTCTAACATTGAAGTTTTCCATGGCTGTAGATACTACTCGAAGGACGCGGCAGCCAGTACGCATCAACATTGAAGCAATACCAAGCAAAAGCAGACTACTTCGCCTGCTCCTGTGTTCAGAAGAACGATGGCTATACAACATCCAGAAAACCCCAGGAGGCCTGATGTACGTACGAGAATGGAACAACCTGCAGTATGCCTCCTGCTGCGGCGTTCCTCACCGCTGTCTACTCCCAATACCTCAGTTCCCATGGCGCCAAGCTGAACTGCCCCAAGGGCCAGGTCGTTCAACCTCAGGAGCTTCTCGATTTCGCCAAGTCCCAGGCTGATTACATGTTGGGGAAGAACCCAAAATCCATGAGCTACGTGGTTGGTTATGGACAACAGTACCCAATTCGTGTCCACCACAGAGGCGCTTCCATTGCCTCCATCTTCCTGCTCCGGTCAACTGTCGAGTGTGTTCAGGGCTTCGACTCATGGTATCGTCGGCCAGAAGCGAACCCCAATGTGGTGTACGGGGCCCTGGTGGGAGGACCTGATCAGAATGACAACTTCAACGATCAACGGTCTAACTACGAGCAGACTGAGCCGACGCTTTGTGCAAGTGCTCCCCTTGTTGGTCTCTTCTCCAAGCTCCAGAGTGCATCAGGAAGTGGAGGCCGCTACCCAAAAACCACGCAAGTTTCACACTACACAACACCAACAGGTCAGTACAGTTCCTAGCTTTCTTATCACGACTAGAACCGGTTCAACTTAATTAAAATGTTCACCCGGATTTCCGCAGGATCCTATCACAAGAACCTACAAGCACCCAGGAAGGTTACAGCAGCAGCAGAGGAAGAACACGTTCCAGTGGAGTTTCTGCACTCCATAGCTAAAACATGGACTGTACGATCCACAACATATTACAGACACAAGGTCACTATCAAGAACACATCTCAGAAGTCGATCACCGGCCTCAAGATGGTTGCGCAAAACCTATCAGGCTCCCTTTGGGGACTCAACCCATTACCACAAAAGAACACCTATGAGTTGCCTGAATGGATTAAGGTCCTCAAACCTGGCCAGGAGCTCAGCTTCGTATATGTCCAGGGCGGTCCTCAAGCAAAGTTCATTGTGAATAGCTCTATCAATATTAAGCAATGTGAAATTCAGAAGAGACAACGAAAACTCTTCTACTGTATTAACCATTACAAAATGGAAGTTTTTGTCATACAACCATATTTCTCTCAATAGAATGAAAGAGAACATCTCAAGAGGGCATATAATAAATATTTGCTCGAATGACAAATATAGAGATACGGTAACATTAACGGCCACCAAGACTTCAAAAACAAAACTAAAACAAGTGTTTTGTTCACACAGAAACAGAAATTTCTACTCTACCACGAGCAATAAAGATACTTCTTCCTACCGAGACTCGGGAAAGAAAAGAAACCCATTGTAGAGTCCTTCTCTTCCGCGTTTGACAGGTCTATTCATCGTCATTCCTGAAGGTAGTTTTCTTACCTGCAGTTTCACAGGTAATCGTGTTACAAAAATCAACTTCGGAATATAAGAGATCGGAGATGGCAACAAACAAAGGGCATTATGATTCTATTTTTACCTGAAGGAGTAAAACTGGACCTTCCACGTCCTCTGTCACCACCTCTACCACCACCACGTCTACCACCAAAACGTCCTCCGGAATCTCTGCCACCACTCCTACCACCGAAGTCCCTTCCACCACCTCGTCCACCACCAAATCCTCTTCCACCTCGGCCGCCACTAAAGCCCCTACCTCCCCCTCCGCTTCCGTAGCCCCTACCACCACCACTGAAGCCATCAGCATCTGGTTTAGGTTTTGCCTCCTGTACTGTCAAATAGTCACCTCCAAGATCACTTCCGTCAAGTTCCAAAGCTTTGTTCATAGAGTCGGTATCAGAGAACTCAACAAAGGCCATTCTGCAGATTAGAGGTACTCAAATCATCAGAAGACAGTAAAAAGGGTTGATGAAAATGCAAAGCTCTATTAATTCACCTTTATATTAACACAAGAGAACTACTACTCACCCTTTGAAGGCTCCAGTCTCATAATCTTTTGGAAGCTTGATAAACGTCACTTCACCACAAGAGCTGAAATGCTCGGATAGAGAATTCTTAATCTGCAAAAGAAAATTAAGGACAGAGAATGAGCACAGCACAAAAAGAAATCAAACAACAAATGCATAAAGAAAGAGAATTACCTCATCCTCCTCGCGTGATGTGTTGAACCCTCGAACAAATACCTTCTGGCCTTGTTGACCTCTTCCGCCCTTCTGGAAAGAGCTATTGTTGTCTTTGCTGCAGAGGTACAAAGATGCTCCCAGTAAGTAAAAAAATTGACTACACAACTCAGGTCAAGGTCATACAGTAAAGACAGCAGTACCCGCTATACGGAGTTTGCCTTTCACCCCTTGGACGAGCAAGATCAAGTCTAAGACCCCTGCCGTTCAAAGACTCACCATTCTTCATCTCAAGAGCCTGAGCAAGGAAGAGAAATAACTAAAATTAACAACCATAAAAGATTACATATTCCAATTGAAAGTGGGACTTGAGACAACCACAAGACCAAAAGAAATTCAGATAACACAGCATCACATGAAAAAACCGCATTGTGCACTAGTTGCTTTATTTCTTTTATATTCTCTAGAATGAACTGTCGCTGGGAGTAATGGTATGCACCTTCTTTGCTTCCTCGGATGTAGAAAAATCAACATGTCCATACCCCCTGAAATTTCCCTCAGCATCCATAGCAAAACGAACATCTGTAACCTCTCCACAATCCTTGAAGAAATTTTCTCTGCAAATAATAAAATAGAATACATCAGCAAAACCATAACAATTCCAATTTGCAGAAAATGGTGCACTGTGTTGGAAAGGTCCTACTTACACATCAGCTCTTTCAACCTCGAAAGGCAGATTGCCAACAAACAAGGTACAAGCTTCAGCAGAGTCATTAGGAGTAACAGGTGTCTTGGGCTGCCATTAAGAACAAATTACCTATTAGGTCAAAAATCAGAAGTGAAGGTTGAAGGAACCAAAACCCAATGCATGTCAAAGCTCCTTTACCTCCTTTGGAGCATCAACCATCACAACATCCTGTAAAAAGAAGACAGCGAGATGGAATTAGACCTAATTGAGATGGTGTTCGGGAAACACTGGCCAATAACAAGGGAAGCCATTGTCAAATATGTTTTCCAGATGCTGTTGGAAGCATACGGAGATTCTTTGAGCATCTTAGAACAAACACTGATGATATAACTAAAAGACATGGTAGGACATTCCAATACCTTTTTCGCAGGTGTTTTTACAGGCTTTTCATCTTCACTCTCATCATCGGAGCTTTCACTGTCTTCTTCACTGCTGCTGCTTTCCTTTTTAGCAGTCGCCTTACTCTACACAATGAAACGAACAAATTAATCAACATAAAGAGGACATCATGCAATGCCACACATCATCAGATGTTAGCAGGCAGCTATTCACCTTTTTATCAGCAGGTTCATCTTCACTTTCGTCAGAGCTATCATCTTCATCACCACCGTCAACATCCATAGCATCCTGAATTTCACACAATTTTGAGCTCAAGAGTGAATGAAATCGAGATATAAAAATAAGTATAAGATTATGAAATGAGTTCCCAGCGTTTAATGTGATCACAGAAAGAAATCGAATAAAATTAACATATATTCAGACATATTTGCTTTGTCCGAACCAAAACAATGAAAATTAAAATCTTAACTTCTCCTCCAAAGAGAAGCAATTTCAATCACAATAAATCTAAAAACATCATAGCTACCATCATCAAAATGAAACCAACAGACAACCAATTTCAATCAGAAGTAAAAGCAACACACCTTTGATTCCTTAGCCTTTGCAGCAACAGCTGGCTTGGCTGCAGCAGGCTGAAATTGTAATAGAGTACTAAAAAAATCAGCACTAAATCATTCGCAGTCTATTAAACTTCATGAATTTCATAAACTTCATTAAAACGGAATAGCTTAGAGACGAAAAGGCACTATAGATTTGAACAATGGATATTACCTCATCTTCATCAGAATCACTATCAGACTCGGAGCTATCACTTGATTCAGCTTTCTTTGGGACAGCAGGGGCAGTAACCTTCTTGGGGACAGCTGCAGCCTACAGATCATACCAAAGAATCAGAAATCTGTACAGAATGGAAATAAATAAATAAATCAGTTATGTCAGATAGGTGATCATAACCCACCTTCTCATCTTCATCAGATGACTCATCAGAATCACTTTCTTCAGAGCTCTCACTTGATTCTTCTTTTTTCTTTGCAGCTTGTGCAGGAGCAGTCTTGGCAGGAGCAGCTACCTTCGCAGGAGCAGCCTACATGAGTGAGTAATGGGGAAATAAAGTCAGAATCAGTTGTAAGAGCAGAATTATCATGTCAAATAAGACTGCATACAAAGAAACAAGCTAGTGCTTTCCACTTGCCTCCTCTTCATCAGATTCACTGTCATCAGATTCTTCATCTGAGCTACTGCTTTCAGCTGCATTTGCTTTCTTGGAAGCAGTGCTAACAGACCCATTCTTTGCAACAACAGGTTGCTTCTTAGCAGGAACAGCTATTTTGGCAGCAGGCTCCTAATAATAGACACAGCAATATCATTAGAATAGCGAAATAAAACATCAGCATATAAAGCAATGTCAAACCTAAATCACGAGAAGCCCAGGAAAAAAATTAATGTGAGAGGCCTAAACAACAACTTCAGGAAGAAATTATAATCCAATACCTCATCTGAATCAGAATCCTCCTCGGAAGAGTCGTCACTGCTGCTTTCAGCTACTTTGGCTTTTGTGGCAGGCACAGCAGCAACGCCGGTTTTAGCAGCTGCTTGTCCCTTCTTAGTAGCAGGCTTCTGAGCAGAATAAAAACTCAACTGTTAGGAAGATAAACAAATGAACGATGAAAGATTACAATAATTATCAATCCAAAGGATGAAATGTCAACAAACTAGAACATAAAAGATGTATGATACTCACCTCATCTTCTGATGAATCAGAATCAGACTCGGAACTCTCACTCTCCACTTTAGCTTTCTTCACAGCAGCAGCAGGCTTCCCATTTATAACAGGTGCTTGCTTCTTTGCTGGAGTAGGCTCCTGCAAGGCCAGGAGAGCATTAGACGACGAAAATAAAAAGATGAAACATTGATTATTATTATATGTTCAAGTAACAAAAATGATACATCATCAGATGAAGAGGATTCGTCACTGCTCGATTCATCGACAGGGAGCTTAGCTTGGGTAACCTTTTTCGTTACAGTAACCTGTTCATAGCAACGAGATGTCACCTACCAGCTAGTAACCAAAATCAATGTACAAGGCATTCCTAATAAGTCAGCCTTCATCTGCAAACTCATAGACTCTAATATCGCAAAAGGAATAATGAGGGCCAAAGAAAGAACCTTTTGTTCTTCCTCAGAAGAAGAGTCATCTTCAGAACTACTTGTTTCCTCTTTCTTCTTCTTCTGGGTCTTCACTTTAGATTTCTCCTTCTGAACGACTTGTGGAACAACTTCTTCTTTCTTCTGCTTCTTCGAAGCAACAACCTTCTCCAAGGCTTCTTCAGCCTGCCTCTTGCCTACAGAGCACCGCCAAGAAGGTATCAATAAAAGACCATGCTTCCCCGTTTCACCAATAAAAACCACAAGAATAATCTCAAAGCAATCCTAATCGACTGCTGCCGATAAAATAAACAGACAAATATCAAGTTTTTCAACAAGCCCAATCAGAATAATTACCTCCTTTCTTAGTCGGCTTGGCGGCAACAGCTATAGCGGGAGCAGCCTCAACCTAGGGGATAATTTCAACATACTCAGCCACACTACGAAACTCGGAAGAATATCAAAAGCGCGAAGTAGTAAGAACCAGAACCCAGAGAGCGGAACAGAGAAACAACCGAAACCGAAGTGCACCTTTTTACTAGACTTGCCCATAACTCCGGTGATTGTGAAGGTGGAAGGAGAACCTGTTACAGAATTTGTGAAAGTGTTTCGTAAATTTAAATCATGACCGTTAGATTTGGAGACCGGCGATACTGAATCCTGCGGCTGCCATTTTAATCAAATGAGACTGTCACAAAAACAATCAAAATCAAAACATGGAACCGGATACAGTTCAATATTGTACTGCTTAATCAAACTTCGCATACAAAACGAAGACACAATCATGCCAGGCCTACAAAAAGGGAGAAAACCGATCGGCAAGAACGAAAAGACAAAAGATCAAAATCAAAACTTGGAATCAGATACAGTTTATCGTCATACTGCTAAATCAACCTTATGACACACAAAAGGAGATACAATCATGGCACAACCCAAATACATGAGCGGGAAAAAAAAGAGAAAGGCGACACCTTTCGGAGATTAGGGTCTAAATCATAAGACACGCAATCTCCATGAGTGGAGTATAAAAACAAGAAGCCTCAAAAGAACCCAAAATCAAGATCGGAGGGAATTACCTGGAGGAGGAAGAAGAAGGACTGAGTTGAGAGAGTGGAGAGGAGAGGGTTTTAGGGTTCAGGGGTTTGAAATAAGAACTGAGGAAGCGGCTAGGGTTTAAGAAGAGGGCGAGCGAGACCGACACAAGTGGGAGATAAAAAAAAATATCAGTGGTTTCTCGACTTTTGTATTGTGCGGGCTGGACCTGGTGCGGCCGTGCGGGGTGTTTCAGTTTTGGTTGATTTATGAATCAACTCCTTTGGGCCACGAAATGATGAAGCCTATTCAGAAGCCCAACTTAAATGGACATCTATTTGTGATATATTACTTGCCATATGGGTGGAGGAATGTCTATGGGCCTGCATTGGGCCCATGTAGTCGAGATTTCGACTCGGGTACCGACTTCATCAACAACTGCGGCTTGGCGGCAACAGCTATAGCGGGAGCAGCCTCAACCTAGGGGATAATTTCAACTAGGGCTGGGAAACAGTCCGGTTCGGTTTAAACCGGACCGGATTGACCCGGTTTTTTACAACCGGATTGGTCATATACCCAACCGTAGACGGGATTGGATTGGTACACGGTTTTAATCGTGATCGGACTGGATTGATCCGGTTTCAACCTAAAAACCGGATCTCCTTTATTCAATCCCAAAACACAGCCGTTTTTATATAAAAAAAACACAGCTTTTTCAATAACAAAAAAATCCAATTAGCCTTCTGCTACCAACCACACGTACAATCCCTAATCTATTCCTACTTCCCAAAAAATCCACCCTATCCTTCTTTTAATCTACCTTGGCGATTCTTCTTCGCCCTCTTCCTCTCCCTCTCCCTCTCCCTCTCCCTCTCCCTCTTCTGTATCAAACAAAACACAATAAAAGCATCACCTTCTTCTCCCTCAAGCACCACTCTGGCTCGCCCTACCGATGAGCTCGATTGAAGTTAGAGAGGCGAGAAGAGTTGGATCTGGAGAATCGATTGAAGTCGCAAGAGCCGGGAAGGGGAGATCGAGCGAGAGAGGGAGCATGCGAACTCTGTATAGGAGAGGCATGTCATCGCGGCCGTTGCATGTCGATCGATCGGATCTCCTCGTCGTCACGGCCGTCGCGTGCCGATCGATCAGATCTCCTAGCCCTCGTCGTCGCTGCCTGGCGAGTTCTGGTGGCGGAGTGGCTACGATCGGTAGAGTGATGGAGGGAGCCAATTGGGTGGATGATAAGAGCTTGGATTTTCTTTCTCCTTCTCCTCCTCTTCGTGTGTGGGTTTGTGTCTCTGTGATTGGGAATGAGAGGAGTTTGAGGGTCAGAGGGGGAGAGAAGAACAAAGAAGTTGGATCGATTAGGGTTTGGGAAAGTGATATTGGGCTGGGCTGGGGATGGGTTGTGATTTAGCGGGCTGGGCTGGGGGTTGAGATTTCTTTATTTGTTGCTATCCGGTTTTTCCGGTTTTAACCGGATTGGACCGGGTCTATGGGCACTACAACCGGCAACTGGATTGGATTGGTTGGGATCCGGTTTCCAGTTTCAACCGACACGGTTTTAACTGGCCGGTTTCCGGTTTGACCGGAAAACCGGGGCCGGATTCCCAGCCCTAATTTCAACATACTCAGCCACACTACGAAACTCGGAAGAATATCAAAAGCGCGAAGCAGTAAGAACCAAAACCCAGAGAGCGGAACAGAGAAGCAACCGAAACCGAAGTGCACCTTTTTACTAGACTTGCCCATAACTCCGGTGATTGTGAAGGTGGAAGGAGAACCTGTTACAGAATTTGAGAAGAAAAACTAGGCTGAACTCTCTCCCAAACCCTAGTGTCGATGTATTTTCAGTCGACAAATAGGGTAGAGAAGAAAGAGAGGTGGTTAACTTACGCGGTGAGTAAGCTGATGTATTATATGGCGAGTGTCGAGCGAAGAGGTTTAGTTAGGGTTTTTGCCTATGCGCCAGCCCTTAGGTTATGACATCGTTCAGTTTTGTGAAAGTGTTTCATAAATTTAAATCATGACCGTTAGATTTGGAGACCGGCGATACTGAATCCTGCGGCTGCCATTTTAATCAAATGAGACTGTCACACAAACTTCTTTTTTTTTAATAAAAAAAAATACACTAACATAGCCAAAACTATCACCTTTGTGCCACTTATAACCACTTTTGGCGAAATACCACTAATTGCCACTTTCGTCCAATTCTTTAACGCTGTTAACGTAAAGTGTGACTCGGCAAACAAAGAGGCTTACGTGGCCCGCCTGAGTTTACACGTGGATAATAATTAAAAAAAACGGAAAAAAACCACAACCCCTAATTTTACCCACCTACCTTTTTACTGTCTTATCCTCTTCTTCGAATCCACCCACCCTTATTCTGATCTTCGAAAACGAAGGCGACGAAGTCGACGATCTGCCTCCGACGACCAGCCTACCCCACCTATATTCCTTCCTCCACCATCGATATATCCTTTTTCCTCCAGTCCCGATTTTCCTCCATTGAGCGATCTACCCTATCACCTCCTTCTTCGATAAAAACATTCATGCATCTGATGGGTTGACCAACCGGCAGCGAGCTTTGGCGGAGTCCTTCGAAGCTTGTTTTCTGCTGAATGCTTTGAAGGAATCTCGGAATCGACCCGTAGCAGACGCAATTTTACTGTTAGCGTCGAAACCCTAATCTCACTTGAAAGGGGGATTTGTGCTCCCACTCGTGTGTCGCGACTGGTGAGATTCTTTTCTTGCTTCGTTATTATGGTTGTGGATTGCTGGGAGAAGGTTCTTGTAGTTTCTTCCTTCTCTTCCTTTTTTGGTTGGTATCGAGCTGTAAAGACAAGAAAGCGACATGGCAGAGGAAGCTCGGGACCACTAGATTGATCCTTTTGCCGAGTTTGCCCCCATATCTGAAGGGAGTTAGTCGATTTACTAGGTTAGAATTGTTTATTCTTCTTTGATCCCCACGAACCCTAGAATTGAATATTGTTATTCGTTGTTGTTTTCCATTTGTTTGGTAGTGATTAAAATACTATTAGCATTGTTTAATCACGTGGTTAATGGTGATTAAAAAATATTTTAAATGGTAATGACAGATGGCTGATTCTTGGGACTCTGTCTTTGGGGAGAATGATCCAGAGGTTGTGGTTTTATCAGACGTGTCCTTGCCTGCAGAAAATGGATTTGAGGCTTCTGTTGCTCGAGACATATACCACGTATATGACTCAGACGATGCAGATACTTCTGATGACGAATACCACGAAGCAAGGTCAAACCTGCGAGCTTATGGGGAGATGAAGAAAAGGAAGGTGAAGGCGCGGATTGATGGCCATGGGGAGGAGGTCGAGCAACTGGACGATTTTGAATAAGAGGAATCTGATGATGAAGATCCTAAAGATGATGTGTTGGCTGATGAACCCGAAGAGGAAGCTCCTGTTGCCTCTCATGCTGAGGAAGGAGTCCAACCTAATGAGGCACCTCCAATCTAGGAAACAAGGGGAGAAAACGGCTGAAGAGCTATCGAGATGGATGATGGCACATAAAATTATGCTAGCTAAAGGAAGGAGAGTTAATCATGATATCCATATAATTCAAGCTTTATTCACAGTGATTGTCGTACTGAACCTAATATTGGTTATTCTTTTGTTGCACCACGTTATTATGTAGTATCCTGCTGCAAATGGATTGTTGTGTGGTCGGAAATTAATCGGCATTGTTGATGTAAGGTTGTAAATGTTATCAGCTTAAATGTTGTGTAGAAGCAATTGGTTTTTGTGTTCTTAATGTAGTTGTGTCCTTGACATTGTAGCAAAAGGTTTCTGCAAACGTTAACAGTGATGCATTAACTGTCATTACAAGAGAAGCCTAACACAATAGCATAATCCAAGTTGTTCATTACATAGTAGCCTAACATACTCCAAGTTGTTCATTATCCGAGCATTACATTACATAAGCCTGCCTAACATACTCCGCGTTGTTATCCGAGCATTACATTACATCATTTTGCCTAACATAAAAGGCCAATACATGAGTCATTTTTCCCAAAAAAAACCTCTAGCGAGGTAGCTTAGTGGCCTTGCACAAAAAAGACGAGTTGACTCATGGATAGAAAGGTCTAAGGCTGCGAGGGTGGGGGTTGACTTCCATTCATATGGACCTTAGTGGGTTGCGTGCCTCCAAACGCACGTCCTCTCGAACCATTGAGCTGAAATACATTACATAATTCATGCATTACATTCATCTTAAATAACAACAATCCTTTAATCATATAAATCCTAGTGACAATACTTACTCTAACGTATTGGTTCCCTGTATGCTCTGACACGTAGACTCCAACTCCTCTTGTGGCAACTCGCAACTCGCGTTCAACAGTCCTCCGATCAGCAACATTGAGCCTACCCAATCACACCACGATAACATTAAATAAGATAAGGCTAATATTCTGTCTAAATTCATTAAATCATTCATGTTCATCCTAATATTCTGTTTCTAAGTGCGATCCTAGCAGTACCCTCATCAACGTGGTTGCGCCAGTTTTCAACTTATGATACGGATAATAATAATTTTTCTGTCGAATAGCAGAACAGAGTAGTGTTCTTTATCGTGTCTCACGGAGATCACTCCGAACTTCACATGAACTCTAGAATTGAAAACGGGGATGAGGATGAGTTTAGGACGATTCACGTACCCCACTGCCATCCATAGGGTTTGGTCTGTGTGGGCTAGTTGGAGACATAGAACAAAGCTTGTTGCACTCAAATGGTACTGCTCATTGTGGGTACGTAGCCCGAATTTGGAAGGGATTTCGCGTGGTGAAGTTTTCTATATTCATAGATCGATCTGGAAAACTCTAAAATGTGATTGCTTTCCAACGAACTCTTAGTATCAGTTGATTTTCGAACAAATAAATATGGTGTTTTGACATCTTAAAATATATTAAAGCGCTTTAAGATTAGCGCCTATGCCACGTACGCTTTGGAGGCCAACCCGTATTTCTCGGCATTTTTATTTTTTTATTATTTTAATGGGTTGTAAGTTGTAACCGGCGGTGGTCAGTTTTTCCGCCAATAAAATCCTCAACTCTATTTTTTCGGACGCATTTTTTTATTACTAAAATGGGATGTACATGTTTTTTACTTTTTTAAGTTGGATGTAGTTTCTTTTTTCCAATTTC